TACATTTCCCACCAGGGTGATGGCATAAACAGCAAAAAATGTCCCAAAGAGGATCAGCTGCTGTTGTGGGTCAACAGTCAATGCAGTGAGTATGAATTCTGTCACCAGTGTGCTGTTTCCCATGTAATCACAACACTGTTGAGGAATACTTCAATCACCTTTCCTTTGCTTCCCAACGATTTGTAATGTAGCCTGAGTTCAGAGTCAATGTTTAACTTTCTAGCAAAAAAAGAGAAATTGGAAGATTTCTAATAAAGCACTCAAGTAGTAGAATAATATTCATTTTACAGTGAGCAATATTCAATCTGCATACATAATGTTTTCTTCGAAATTACAACTAGATTGTCGTACATGGAGAATTAGGTGCTATGCAATGAAATACCTAAGGTTATGCATTTTATGGAGTTCATTAAGCATCTGGACAAGAGCCTAACCAAGGTAATCATCTGTGTAGAAGGATGGTTTGGGTAGAACCTACAATTTGTGATTTGAAAAGTTCCAGCCCATGAATAAATTTCTCCACTCAACTATTAAAGACAACTAATAACCATGAGAGTGCTACTGAAATCTTCAAGCAGACGAACTCTCCTTTAAACCTGGAAAGAAATCAAGCAAGTATCAGAGAAAATATGACTTGCATTGACTTTTTCTTTCCCAGGAGGGCTTGAGAAGCTGCAGTATAAGAATTAGCAAGCTGACTGTGGAAAGGTTCTTATCCCTTCCAGTTGCGTACATTGCTCGGGTTATTCATGCTGGATCTACCTGCTCTATGAATTCTAGAAGCTGATCTTTGGAAGGACTCGTTATTTCTTGAGCTGATCAAATGAATTCTGAATAGCAAAAGCCACACTGACTCTCATGTCATAGTAGACTCAGCACTGTCAGCCATATTCCTGTGTGCCTTTGACATTCCTCATTGATATAATTAACTCTACGGAGAAGTTGTTTTTCACTCCATAAAATAGTTGGCCCTGTTGGCTACATTCTAAGAACCACTCATTACCAAAATCTCACAGTTTAAAACAAGCCTTTTACTGCTTTATAAATATAACCCTTGTCTGGTTTCATCTCCAAATACCTTATCTTCTAGGTCCAATATTTATTCCTCACTGAATTTTTAAATTTCCTGATTCTGAAGAACTCCTGGTTGTTTCTGATGCAATCTGAGCTGGCGAAAACACCATATTAAAAAAAAGGCCCTGTGCATCATTTTGTATGTTTACCATGCATCCTTGATCTGGCCCTTCTCTGAACATCCAGTCAGATGTTCCCCTTAAAGTAACAATAACTTTTCTTTCCATGAACTCCTAAAGCACACTCTCACAAGCAATAAAAGACATACCTTGTATAGTTGTCTTTTTGATGATCAAACTCACTTGTTTTCTTCCAGCTCAATAGCATCTATCACATTTTAAAATAGCCATAATTTTCAAGCTTCTGATTGCAGGTCTTTGAAAGTTATACTCACGTCCTTTTGTTGCTCTTAAGAAATTCAGATATTTTCCTCCAAGCTTCAGTAACTCAACAGCTTTCTCAGTTTCTGCAGACAATAAGGTTTCCTTCAACTCTCTTTGGAATAATGGAGAAGAGAACTCTACTGAGAAAACCATTGGTTTGGGGACCTTCTCCCTGAAGTGCTTCAAATTGTCCTATCCACTGCTTTGTGTTAATTATGCAGTGAAGTTTCAGTAAGCCAAATCACAATTGTTTGAAATATTTACCAATGGAAAAGGTAGTATTCAGCAGAGATCACATTCTGTCCTCTTTTTATTTATTAATAGTATTGAATCATATCCTTTTTCCACACAATGATGTTCTTTATGTGGACACAGACTGCCTTTCAAAAATGTGGTTTTTATTATTGTTATTCTTATTATTATTTAAATTGAAAAATATGTGCTAATGAACAGTGTTCAAAATAGCATTAGAAACATTCAGAGAAAACATAAAGAACCTATACGAAGTTGTGAAGCAGTGGTTTTAAAGGCTACTAAAAGACGGTATCATCTTATTGGCATGATTTCAGTCAGAGCTGAACTCCGCTTGTGCAGGTCCTGTGGAGTTGGCTGAGGCACAGTCTTATGTGATTATCTGGAAAGAGTTTGACCCTTTTGGCCCTGAGGAAGTGACTAGGATCCTTGGAGCTGTGGGTGTGTCCACTTGTATTTTAGATCCATGCCCCTCCTGGTTGGTGACAGCTTCCCCTCCTCCCTCTTTTATCTTCATGAGAACTAGGGCGGTGCCCCCCTTAGGCCATTTCATAAATCTCTACCTTTTTATGA